TCACCCTCCCGCACGATGGAGATTTTGCAATTATTACACTAAAATGGAGCGACCTGAGGTGAAATTCCTGCAAATTTAAAATAAAAAAATTTTTTTGCTTGGGGAGGGAGTTCGTTTGAACCCCCCGACCCCCCCTGGCTACGGGCCTGTATACACTATATGTCTATACAGTATACACTATTCTAACCCTAGCAATACCGTTTCTTGGAGCTAACACTGTAGTAGTACATAGTAGTACTGTAACTATAGCCCGCGTTCATTTTGCATGCGATCTCACGAAATTTCAATGAACACCGTTCTGTTTCAATAACCCTCACCAAAATATAAAACGCAGTGGCTACGGGTAAGGTAGCCGTCGGTCGTTGAAGCCCCTTTTTAGCGTTAGGGTTAGGGTTAGGGTTAGGTTTAGGGTTATGGTTAGGTTTAGGGTTAGGGTTCTAGCTCATCTAAACTCTCAAATCGTGAATTTATTTCCCAAGGCGTTATTTCGAAATCTGGCGCCGCCGCCGCCATCTTTGTCTCGTTAAGTATGAAAGCGAATGGACTCCCGTACCCGTAGCCTCGAGACATTAAGATACGGCTACCGTACCCGTAGCCACTGCCAATATAAAAAGGTTATATGGGGCAGAATTATTCGGTCTACTCACACTGTAGACCTCTATAGTCTATACTGTCTACAGTATTGATCAATATATGGCAATAAATTGTTCATTTAATGATTTATTATTTAATAATCAGAGACTGTCGCTAGTCTCGTTAGATTATAAAAATTTTAATTCTAGGGCACAATTTATTAATGTAAGCTAAGCAAGGTCTGAACTGGATCAGAGCTAGTACTAGTAGTAGTAGTAGTACTAAAAATATAATACTAAATAGTATTACTAATAATAATAGGGCCTACTATTAAATAGTAAAGAGTGCCTATATATGCCCGGCAGCCGGTGTCGCGTTAAATTTCTCAGCCGGTAAATAAGTCGACACGGCGTGTTCTGCGCATGCGCACCTAACCGTGACGTCACATGACGTCATCCGGTAAATACTTCAACCGAGTTGCAGGAAACGCGACACTTGCGTCTTGACGTCGAGTACGACTATACTAGTTACATGCTACTATACTAGTACTACTACTAGTACTAGTTAGTAGTAGTACTAGTTCCAAGGGAATATATCGAAGACGGAGAGACAAGTTAATCAAGTCGACAGATCAACACAAAACATTCTTCACTTCAGTGCAACAGCCAATTAATGCTGGATCTTTAGACAGTAAATTGAATAATCTTAAAAGGTAAGGTTCACACAAATATTCACTGTCTTGACTCGAGTGTTCTAACTTCTAGCAAAATTTCCCAGCTAGTGGATACATTTCCCAGCTAGTTTAGGATGACCGGAGAAAAAGGTTTAGACTAGGAGAAATTTCTCCTATCATCCTAATCTAGCTAGAAAATGTATACACTATAGCTGGGAAATTTTGTACGGCTGCACTTGGCCCTTGCTATTGTCACTTCATCATTAGCTCTGTGCTTCTTATGTGTTGAGGTGGAAGTTTGGAGCGCGACTGCATGACGTCTACGAAAAATGTACATGCAAAAAATCTAGTCAACTCTGATTCAAAATTGTCTTCAAACTACTGACTGGAAAATACAAATACAAATACAAGACCATATCCCACTAAAATACATAGAATAAAAAAAAATGAAAAAATGATGAAGGATATATCCACGAATGTACATAATATAGTGTGACTGACATTACGATTTGTCCACTTACAATAAACAGTCCGCACGCCAACATCTCTCATATATCTATGTCAGCTTGGCTCAGTAGGGTAAGATAAGAGTTCTAAATGATATGGAGTTTTCATGTACCACAAATATTAATTGAATTGTCAACAAATTGTATAATTCTTTTTCCATGTCTACCTACCTACTCATGGATTTACCCAACAGGAGACTACCCCAGGCAACTAACAAAATCGGCGAAATCGGAACTGTGGAAGTATGCGCTGTATTTTAAGCTCATTGGTATGTATTGCGCATGTCACTGTAATGTTTATTAAAGTAACATAAAAGCAGTATATTATGGATTTTTTTCATGCAATTTCATAATACGGTTATACACTTAAATATTTGCTTATAAATATCGGCCATTTCAAAGTGACTTGCATGACATTTCTGCAAAAATCTCACTTTTAATGGTCTGGCATTCCTATATTAGCTTGCTGCTACTTGCATTTAGTAGAAAATACTGCTATTTCAGTAAAGGCACTAGTTATGCATATTTTTGCATTGACGTTATTGCAGCCGCATTAATATATTCTCAGAAATTACAAGCTATTCTACGTGACTCGTATGACAGGCTACTAACACACATGTGTTGAAGTATACTTCACACATTTGACTTTTCGTAGAATATAATAGGTTTGATCTGAGTTTTACCTGGTGAACTATAGGTACCCAATACTCTCTCCATACTTCATTTGCACTGCTAGAAGCCTTTTTTTAAGTGAGCATCATTCTCTTAAGTATGTGACTCGCGCGACATAGTAGCTCATGGCATTAACAAATGTTAGACTATTCAGAATTTTGATGACTGAAATGTTATCCTTACTATAAAGAGGCTAATCTTGTGTGTGTGTGTGTGTTTTTGACATCGCTTTTCTCCGTGATTTTTCACTCTAGATATGTCCAAGGATGGCTATTAGATGTAACTTTGCATGCTGAATGTCATGGGCACATTGAATTTGACCTCCGAGGTCATCTAAGCCAAAAAACGGGGGGAAACGGGAAAATATAATAACCCCTGCAGCAGCAGCAAAGCAGCAGCAGCAGCAAAGCAGCAGCAAAGCAGCAGCAGCAGCAGCAAATACTGGCCCCTGCAGAAGCAAAGCAGCAGCAGCACTAAATACTTACCCTTTCTAATTGCTACACTTTCTAAACGTAATTAAAGTACCCTTTCCTAAAAAGTAAACTGGTTTCAGTGGGAATTGCAGTGTTCTAAATTGTAGTAAATTTGTGTTTTAGGAAGTGTGTTGTGGTACATTGGAAATCCAAAGAAGAAGGCACATCCGAGGCGGTGCATTTTCACGGAAGAAGAAAAGGAGCAGGTTTTGTATGATTGCCATAATTCTGAACACGGTGCGCCTTCCACATCCTCTAGCCATCCGACGCCGTAAGACAAGATGTGAGGCGAGACCGCCCTCGCCACCCTCGACTTACAGGCTCGCTGTCCACATCACTAGCCAATCCAACGCCGTGACACAAGGATGTGTACGGCGAATCCGGCCTGCCACCCAATCGCTCGCTGGCTTCCACATCTCTAGCCATCGACGCCGTAGACAAGATGTGAGGCGACCGCCTCCCCCTCGCTCGCTGCTTCCACATCCTAGCCATCGACGCCGTAGACAGAATGTGAGCGCGACCGCCACCGCCTCGCTCGCTGCTTCCACTCCCTAGCCATCGACGCCGTAAGACAAGATGTAAGGCGACCGCCGCCACCCTCGGCTCGCTGCTTCCACATCCTAGCCATCGACTGCGTAGACAATGATCGTGAGGCGACCGCCTCCACCCTCGCTCGCTGCTTCCACATCCTAGCCATCACGCCGTAGACAAGATGTGAGCGACCGCCGCCCCACCCGATTCGCTCGCTGTCTTCCACTATTCCTAGCCATCCGACGCCGTACGACAATGTGAGCGCGACTCCTCACCTTCGCTCGCTGCCTTCCACATCCTAGCCATCGCACGCAGTAGACAAGCATGTGAGGCGACCGCCTCACCCTCGCTGCTGCTCTCCACGTCCTAGCACGGACGCCGTAGAAAGATGTGCAGGC